CCCAGGAGTTGGAGGTTGCTGTGAGCTGTGATGCCACAGCATTCTACCCAGGGGGAAAGCTTGAGGCTCTGTCTCAAAAAAAAAAAAAAAAAAGAAAAGAATACCCCAATGTGGTAGTATTTGGAGTTGGCAGCTTTGATGGGACTATGACCTTCTAAGAACAGACCAGAGAGCTCTCTCTCTGTTTCTCTCTCTCATGTTCTCGGGGTGAGGACACAACAGAAGACCATCTGCACCCAAATTAAGACAAGGACCCTTACCAGAACCTGATCTATGACTTCTACCTTCCAGCACTTCAAGAAATAAGTGTTTGCTGCTTGAGCCCCCAGTCTGTGGCATTCAGTAATAGCAGCCTGAGCTGACAGACACCTCAGTGAGACCCAGACATTCAATGCATTGCAGGAGGCACCTCTGATCTGCTCTCACCACTGCTGTTCAGCTGTCCTAGAAGTTCTAACCAGTGCCATTGGACAAGAAAAAGAAACGAAAGGAACCAATTAGGAAGAAAGTCAACTATCTCTAATCTCTGATGACATAATCCTGTATATACAAAAAATCCCAAGGAAGCCACTGAAAGCTACTAGAGCTAATAAGCAAATCAATAGAGTTTGCAGGTAACAAGTTAACACACAAAAAATAGCTGTGTTTCTGTACATCTTCAGTGACCAATCTGAAAAGAAATTAAGAAAGCTGTTCTGTTTAAGAATAGTTTTTGGGTGGCACCTGTAGCTCAGTGAGTAGGGCCAGCTGGTGCCAGCCTGGGCCTGCCAAACAGTGACAACTACAACCAAAAAAAAGCTGGGCATTGTGGCAGGCGCCTCTAGTCCCACTACTTGGGAGGCTGAGGCAAGAGAATCACTTAAGCCTAAGAGTTTGAGGTTGCTGTGATCTGTGATGCCATGGCACTCTGCCAAGGGCCACATAGACTCTGTCTCAAAAAAAGAAAAAAGAAAAAGGAATAGCTTTTAAAAGAATAAAATATCTAGGAATAAATTTAACCAAGGAGAGTAAAGACTCAAACACTGAAAACTAAAAAACATTGTGAAAGAAATAAAAGAAGATTGAAATAAATAGGAAGACATTCTGTGCTCATGGGTAGGAAGACTAAGTATTAGGGCATTAAAGTAACCTATAGATTCAATAAAATAACTGTCAGAATTCCAAAAGTATTTTTTTTTTTGCAAAAATAGCTGATTCTCAAATTCATATTCAATTATAAAGTACCTCAAATAATCAAAACAATTTTGAAAAAGTACAGAGTTGGAGGCCTAATACTTTGTAATTTCAAAATTTATTACCAAGCTGCGGTAATGAAAACTATGGCAGTGGCATAAGGTTAGACATACAGGCCAATGGAATAGACTTGAGAATCCAGAAATAAATTCTATGTCTATGACCAGTTGAGTTTTGACAAGGGTGCCAAGTCTCTTTACTTGGGGAAAGAGCAGTCACTTCAACAGATGGTGCCAGGACAAGTGGATCTCCACACGCAAAAGAATGAAGTTGGACCCTGCCTGACAGCGTATTAAAGAACTAGCTCCAAATTGATCACCTGCTCTTTCCCAAGCACAAGGGATTTTCAATGTCAGAGAAGATAATTAAAGTGAAAGTCATTTTATTTTAAAAGAATAGAATTCTTTAGGAAGAATTTGTGTCTGTAGTCTATCCACTCTACAGATACTTACTGAACAGCAGTGTTGTGACATTACAATGTGTGAGATACTGGAGGTACAGTGGCGTACAGAAGCAAACTTGTTCCTGGTTTTTAATGGAATTCACAGTCTAGAGGAGGAAGTAGACATTAGGAAAATAATTCCACTAATGAACATAGAATTTCAGTTGTTATGTGTGGAGTGCAAGAAAATGTGTGTGCCACGGAGCTGTATGAAGAAACTCCAGCTGGTCCGAGGGGAGAAATTCCCCTGAGGATGTGATGGAATGAACTGGGTGCAGATTGAAGGGGAGAGTGTGGCTCGCTCCTGAGGTGTGAAGGGTTTTGGTGGTTTTTCTGCAGATAGTGGAAATAAAAACGGACTCGGTTTCCTCACTTGGCCTCAGTGCCGAGTGTTCTGTGTTCCTTCTTACCTCCCAGCAGCGCCGGTGTTCGGGCAGAGCGGGTATTTAGTGGTGTGGCAATTTGGGGGGAGAAAGTATTTTAGTCTACTAGAAGTTAAATTTGTTTTAAGGTAATAAAACTCTAATGCGTGTAAGAGTTTTCCCTATTCAAATTTTTTAAGAAAATATTTTAATTTTTAATCTATTAAATAATGATATTATTTTTTTTTTTTTTTTTTTT